AGACAATGATGATGAAAGATAAGGACAGTAAATACATATTGTGATTAAATATAAATATATGCAAGAATAAAAGCCAAACAAGCAATAAAATGTAATAAAATATTTCTGCTGATTGCATAGTAGGCTATGTATACAGTTAGGAGTCACCAGCCTCAGGGACTCCAGCTGGAATAAAATTATAATGTTAAAAAAAAATACAAAATAAATTAACATTTGAACGCGTCAAAGGAGGATGACCATCTTGACGCACTGTTAACTTTGGCAGAGCTTGTGGCAGTCGGAAGTCCCGCCCACTCAACCTGTCAGATGGAGGATAAAAATGGATATCAGTTGCTATGACAACGAAGCTGCCTCTTGCACAAGAATAGATTACTGTTTCTCCTCTTTGTGCACCCAGAGATAATAATCCTCTATTAGCCCCAGTTTCTGCCTGTCATGTAATCTTTTTTTTTTTATTTGAGACTTTTTACACTGAGGATTGTGTTTGAGTGACACAGTTAAACATCAGTTTATCTTAAAGATAATACAAGATAAAAATAAATCGCACATACTAGCTTCCTGTTATATTATCCATATATATGATAGGATATTACCAGAATCATCAATAACTCGTTTATCGATCAAGATGTTTAACTCCTTCCACAAACAAAGATGGCAGCCAGAAAAAATACATATCTGCTTGTTTGATGATGCAAGACAATATTAATGTGTTGCATAGTAAAAAATAAAGACCTAAAATAACAACAACTAATGGAAAATTAACTTATTTTTGTGGACAAACATTGAGATTTGTCACTTCCAGCTTGCATTTCTGTTGTTTTTGGCTGAACAAAACGATTGGAAAATTGAAAACCTGGGAATGCGGTTGACATAATAGCTGTTAAAAATGTTGTCAAATGACCTGTGGGGATGCTTAATTCTGTCGCTTAGCTCTGTGACTCCCATTTAATAATTAAAGTAGAAGTCTCAAGTGTGAAAATAATAATTAGTGAGAGGCACAAACTGGAAACGAGCCTCTATTGTCTCAAATGGCCCCAAGAGTCAGTTATTTATATATTCTAAAGCTAAAGAATTTCTAATAAATTATAAATCAGATGTCATTTTGACTTAAACAGAGTTATTAATAAAAGTAACGCTGTGCTCCATTCAAGTGTCCCAGAAGGTCATGAGAGTGTGACAGCGAGCACAAGACCCCGAAACCTGAAGCTTCGAAATTCACACATCATTGATTTTATTATTTACACCTGGGGCTTTCCTGCCGTGACATGTCGATATGTTTTTAAGTGAATCTTCCAGAACTAGTAGGGTAAACATTATAGGTGTTAACCAATGACACTAGTTAAGGCTCAGTTCTATTTAACATCTGTGTTTACCCAAATATTTCAAATCAAAATGTCTGCTTCTTTTTTTTTGTTTTTAATTTGTGTTTTTTTGTGTGACGTCTTGAGGTTGTAGCTTAAAACTGCCTCCTGATTTCCTGATTTTAGAATCCATAAAATCCAATAAGAGCAGATGTGTCCTGGTGCAGTGATAATGTTTGGTATTGATTTCGGAGTCACAAGGTCACATGATGAGGAAGCTGTTGAAATGAGAAAAAAAAACCTGCCATTATTACCTACAATGTAAAACCAGATAAGTTAAGTTAACTAAAAATTGCTAAAGATTACATAGAACATTTTAAGTAAGAAAAAGGTTCTTGATTAAGCAGCTTTTACCTGTAATTTTAAGTGACATTAAAGCTAATTAAATTGAGTTAGTTTTGCTTAAAATTTGCGATGTAATCAGTTAAATGAACTTTTAATCGGGTTTTACAGTGAAAACATTAATGAAAAGTAAAGGAATTACACTCATAATCAATATAAGTCAGCTATAGACCAGTTTAGTATAGTTTCTTAATAACAATTTTCTCTAGTACAGGCAAGTCAGCATTATTAAAAAAGATAATTTATTGATGGTCGACCCCCCTAACTGTCATCCTACAGCCAACCCCGCTGGACCTGCAGTGAATCTCTAACTTCTCCAATGGGCAGATAAACGTCTACGACTCCAAACTTGACACTTGAGTGAATAAACTGCAAATAATTCTCAATTATGAAGATTTCTGGACGTGCATGTAAGCGGCTCTGCTGTGCCGTCCTATACTGGACACCTCCACATCCATCAGTATTGATTTCTGTCAGGCCCCAGCCACTGAGTGGATGAACGGGGTCAGCTATGGATCGAGGAGGAGACGGAGAGACCTCACACTTGGGTCTTGTGCAGTGCAGTGCTTGAGTGGTTGAAAAGATCAGGGCCACAGAAAATGAGACTTTAGCGAGCTTTGTGTTTGCAGCTCAGTGCCACGGGGCTTTTTGTTGGTTATGCCGACACATTTGGTAATGATAGTTCCGGGCAGCATAGAAGCATTGCTTGACAGCATCCTCTCCTGCTGAAGAAGGACTGAAGGGTCCCATGATCTGACTGGGCTACTGTGAATATATCTGACCTTCACATGGGTGACGTTAACTGTTATATCGATTGAAATATATCAGCTAATACAGTCGGAAATAAAAAACAAACATTGATATCGGTGTTGAAATTGTCCAGACCTACAAATACTTGTGTTGAGATCTAGTGAAAATACAGATATACAGAAACTAAACTCTTTTTTATAGTAAATCAAAGAATATTGACAATGTTTTATTCTTCTTTTATTGAATGTATTTGAATGTTTTCTACGTCAAAAGGACAAGAACCGACTGCAAGGTTGAAATCACCTCTAAAATCATTGGTAAGATCCCTGATGCACCTTTATTCTTAACAAGTCCTCAGAAAAACATATAAGATTTATGTTTCTTTATATTTAAAAGACTACTGTTTGCTTGCTTACTTGCCTTAAATTGAGGGACAAATAAAGTATCTAGAAAAACCTATCATCAGTCAGGCTCTTATTCAAAAACACTGCACAGACTAAATATAAAGAATTCAAATGATATGTGGTTTTATTAGAAACTGTGCACTGAATCAAGCATCCACCTCGTGAACAATCATTTTATCTGGAATGTTTAAGACTCTATCAGGATGTTAGAGAAAATCTGAATTAAAAATAAATATGTCTGACAAAATAATGTGTAAAGAAAAAAAAGAAAAAAAGTAGAAATTAAAAGAAAATAAAGATTCTAGATTTAATCTTCATGCGAAATTTGATTCGACAATCAAATTAAGTTAAATTAAGTTAAAATATTGATGTGAAGCAAAACTGATATCACTTTATATAAAAAAAATAACACAGTAGAGTACCATATATGGCTACTGATATGGGGCTGAACATGATTTGTCATGTCGTTACGCAGCATCCTATGGCAGAGATTGTGTCAAAATAGGTTTATACAATACTTTGCCTCATACAGTATGCTCATAAAGTACAATCACTGGTTGTCCCTGTTATTTATTATGATTATATGATGACTGTATATGGCTTCTGAGTTAGTCCAAAGTGTGTACAACAATCAACCTGCATAAGAATATGAGATGAAAAACTACAAATCTATGACAATTTCATGATGACAAACATTAATTTAGTGTCCCAAATCCTGGCTGCATCCTCTCACTTTCAGCACATTACACAAAATATTTGCTGGCAGAGGAACGTGACAATCATCCACACATGATTCACTGAAGTTCATATTGGCACAAAAGCGGTCCTGTGTTTGCAGTCCTGTCCCTCTCATATCTGTAATTATTTCAAAATAGCTTGTGGGATCATGAATGTGTTGTAAATAACCAGACACTGGATGTGAATAATTGTAATGGCAGACATGTTGATTATTGTAGTGCTGCCACAGTGTTCTACTCTACACCAACAAATCCACACTGTCCTCCAGAGTTACTGCCACTGATAAAAAAGCTGTATAAATATCCACGTTTATATCTGCATTCAAACCAAACAGTTAGTAATTAGCATATTAAATTATATGCTTTTTAACCTAGAATAAGTAAATAAAATAAGTAATTTAAAAAATAAATTGTGAATAAATCGTATTAGTGTGCTTGTGAAGCAACATGTTTCTCATCTCATAAATTACTTACTTACTGTACTTTTATTATTGATACTGCATTGATCATTATTTAAATCACTGATCAATATGTGTCTGCTACAGTGAAAGGGGTCTACAGAAAAATACCGCCCAACTCTGCAGCTCTAAGTTGCTTTTCATCCTCTTGTAGCTTGTTGTTTTGGTTGTAAAGGTCTAGTGTGCAGGATTTAGTGGCGTCCAGCGGTATATTTACTGATTGCAACCCCTTCGCTTCACTCTTCCATTCCAAGCATGAAGGAGAAACTAAGGCTGGCAGCAAAAAAATGTCCGTATCTAGAGCCAGTGTAGAAACATGGCGAACTCTGCAGGAGAAGACACTCTAGATGAAAATGTCTAATTTTAAAGTGACGAAAACACCACGATTCTTGTTCTCAGGAGACTAATGAAAACATATCTACGAATATTATATATTAAATAGATCGTCTTTAATGTTACACCCTTTAAAGCAGCACATTTACTGTTTGCTTTCCAGCTGTTTTCAGTGAAAAAAGACTTTTATTCTATCATTGAGTCGGATTTTCAAGTAGTTTTTTTTTTTTAACTTTGCCAGTGCTGACATACATGTATAAACATATCATTCAAAGCTTTGTCTAATTCAGTAATGGCACTAAATGTCAGATTTTTACATATGTACTGAATAAAAACAATTGTGAATTCATGTAAATGTATAAATCATTCACGGCACAATGTGTGCTTTGTTTCTTTCCTCCTCAAAATCGTGTGTTCTCATTAGTTTTCCCAAATAGATATTTTCCAGTAATATGCCATTGCTACACAGTGTTACATACACAAGCACACTAATCTTGTATCTTCCCTCTGTACTTTTGTTTTTGCAACCTTTTTTTCTGTGTTTCAGTAATTCTGGAGGTCAACGTTCGATTGCAGCCCCATACCTGCAGACACAGATAATAAAACAACTGTACACTGTAACAATATTATACAAGTGTGTTTTTGCATTGGCTTGGACAGAAAAATAAAAAAGAGTCAGGCCACTCTTACAGTAGATGGCAAAGAAAGTAAGAAATATGATATAATCAGTCCCTTTCACTCAAAAGAAAAATATATACTGTAATATCAAGAGAGTGGGCATTACCAGCAAAATCCAACACATTTAGAAGAAATCTTAAATAAAAATGTATGTGTTATGTGTTTACTCTTCATTTGATTCGTATGTACAGTGGCCACATACTGTAACTGGAAACATACTTTCAAGGAAATATGCACTCTAATCGAAGTAATCACACAATGTGTCACCATGAAACCATGAATATAAATATACATACACATTTACAAAAGCCAGGCTTTTCAAAAGTGCTGCAGACGGTGTAGAAAACAGGCGGAGATAGAGGATCACACTGCAATCCAGGACTTCACTCTGCAAAGGTATGTGTACACAGTTGCTGGAGGTATTTGGTTCGTCTCTTAGTCCCCAGACCAGAACCCATTAAAAGTGGCCTCTAATTAGAGGGGACCATATCCTTTATAATGGGTTCTCTGTTTAAGTAGGTGGCCCAGTAGACAAGGTTGAAGGAGCCAAAGAGAACCGGAAACAAAATCCTTGACATCCTGTCAATTTTGCTGACGCTGTTGAACGTCTTCTTGCTGTCTTGGGCTTTACCGTCTGCTTTGGGCTTGTTGGGATCCGACGCTCCACCTTTGGCAATAGTTGGAAGTGTGCTGGAGTCCTTGGTGATGTTCGGTGCGTAGTTGGCCACTGCTACAGCATAAGCGTTATTCTTCTTGACGACAGACGCCCTCTCTTTTTTCTGTTGAAAGACCACAAGGATTAGATGTAGACGCTTAAAAAGACAAGGGAGCAACCCTGAAACTCTTCACTTGTCAACATCTATTCAGTTTAAAATACATGTAAATGAAGGAGTGAGGTGGTAATGGACTGGTTCTGGTAATGGATCAGCACATTTGGCCATGAATGAAGGCCTGCAAAGGCCCACATACATCAGTTTGAGAATGATGTACTGTAACTTTTCGCAGTTTTGTGTATTTTTTCAGCCTTCCAACTCGTCCAAGGATGTTTAAATCTTACAGCGTGCAGTAGATGGACTGATATATCGTAGCCATACTAGTTTCTTTATTCTTTCTTTATCTCAAATTACATGTAATAATCCTCTTGGACTGGAGACACACTTTAAGATGCATCATAAATAAAGACCTTTTTATTCAAGCTCTTTTGAATATATACATGACTTATAGCTTATTATTGTTTTCTGCTTGATCACTACATTTTGCTTCCATGTCTGTCATGTCATCAGTTCAAGGGTTAAAGGACTAACAGGTAAAAAGGGGAACTTTTTATACAATTTTTTGTCTGTATTATGTTTTTTTAATCATTTTTAAAAATAATACAAACTTAATAGGCTTCTTTTTTTATTGTACTTTACATTTATTTTTCTTCAGAGAAGTGAACCAAATGCTGAGATCTAAGCCTACTCTGTTTATTTTAAAAGTTTTCTAGCACACTTTAAAATCAAGAAGGCCTCACGACCCTCCATGAAGCCTCGGCGACCTCTAGTACCAACTAGTCATGTTAGCTTATTTCTATCTAAGATAGAGATGAATAATGGACAAGTTGCTGCCTTTTTATTTGCCATTTTGACCAGAGTTTGTCAGGTTTACCTGTCAGCTTATTAGCTCTCGCTGTCGTAGCAATTTGGTTTTTCTTGCGGAGGGCTAAAGCATTATCGCTGCTTCCCTCTGCCTCCGATATTGTTAAAGCTCTGGAAGCGTTGTCTTCTCCAACATACAGTCACAATGCTAATGAATTCTCTGAAAATGGAGCCTGTCAAAAAGACATGTTTTTCTCCTCATTACCTTGTCAGTCACAACACTCTTTCCATCCCAAGCCCAGCCGCGCTTTGTGAAGTAATTGACAGTTGCAAACTCAATCAAAGCAGAGAAGACGAAGGCGTAGCAGACGGCGATGAACCAGTCCATGGCAGTGGCGTAGGCAACCTTGGGAAGGGAGTTCCTCGCACTTATACTCAGTGTTGTCATAGTGAGAACAGTGGTTACACCTGGAAATACACACAAAGAAAATAATATCTTGTCTTGGATAGTCAGTTCTCATGAAGTTCACACACACACACACACACATATATATATATATATACATAACACACCTACTGTAATAAAGGTAGGCCAAGTGAAATTAAATCAATTTTACTTTAATAAAATCTACTCAGTAGCTGTAACTCACTCAGTAAGTGATTTGAGAGGGGATGAAGAGGGATGCCATCTCCCTTGATTTGAAAATGACTAAAATACATCCCCCTTGTTAACCTGCCATCTCCTCTCTCCATCCCCTAGCACTTAGGTCACTAATAGGTGGACCGTGGCCCGGGACCCAGACACAGTCCTATCCAGACCCAGACCTATAACCGATAAATTATTGAGAATTATTCAACTGTGATGGAGATTTTATATTTATTTATATGTTTTATCAGTTCCTCACTGAACAAGAGAAAGTCAGGAAAGTGGGATATAAGAGGTAATGGAAGAGAAAGGGAGGCGTTAAAGCTGTTCAGGTGTTAAGATTGTTTATTATAGAGACTATTAAGATGAGAAATGGAGTTAGCAAAAAAGAAAGAAAAAAATCTAAAATTAACTCTAACATTCTAAAATTAAGCACTTTATTTTTAGATGTACATTTTCAAAAGCTCTCTGTTATGTATTTTGGTTTTAAACGCAGCCGTTATTCTATTTGAAATGAGAATGAGTTTCACCCCTTTCAGAATAAAGTGTTAGTCCTTACTGTGCTTTGTATCTTTACAGTGTAAGGTTACTGTTAGCCTGCTCTACCCTAAGAACCACTGACCTTCAGTAATGCTTTAACTGCTCAGCAGGTTTGGTACGTTTAGCCAAAGGACACAGTTTATTCTTGACTTCTGTACCTGTTTTTTTTCTCTCTGAGTGAACCAGTCTTAGGTCACTGTTATTAGTTCCACTTGGCTTACTAACAAGTCCAACAGTAGCTTGTCCAACTGGATTGAAAACCCCCCCTGAAGCCTCTAAGAAATGTCCCCTCTTTCCTCTTTATCCTGTTTTCTCCTGTCGGTCTACCCTCCATTTGTCATCAACTTTCAGTCAGTCAATAAATTCCTCATGCCAACACATTCATAGACCTAAATTACACGAATTCCATTGAAAATTATGTTATTTCATGCAGATGCAGGTTTATTGTTTAAAAATGTATCTTTGTATGAAAGAAGAAGTAGAAGATGGTCATTGATAAAGGCAGACACTTACCAAACACAGTCCTAGCTGGCACTGATTCTCTATTCAACCAGAAAGACACTTGGGAAAGAATGACTGTCATGATGCACGGGAGGTACGTCTGGATGACAAAGTAGCCAATCTTCCTCTTCAGATGGAAATGAGCCGTCATCACTGTGTATTCACCTGTGGAGACAAGAATCATGGTCACTTTAAAGCACCACCACCGCAGCTACGTCTACTATCATTTATAATTTGACAATTTAGTACTTTTAATCACCTAACGCATCCAATTAATTAACTCAACCTCCATTTATAACGCACACCACTCTCAGTTAATATGTAGGCATCAGATGATCAGTCATCAATTCACCTGTGCATAAAGGTTATTTTGAGACTTTCAATGAAATAAAACAATTTTAACAATTCATAAACAGCTTTTTTTGGTTTTATGTTTACATGAAATATGGTTTGTAACCTGTTCATAACACCTGAAGAGGACGTTATCAAACCGTGTTAGTGCAGATCTGCTGTTATCTTTTTAAATTAAATGGTTATGATGTCTCTTGAACAGCTTTAACTTGATTGAAAATATAAAAATATTGTCCTTGCCACTAAATTATAAAGAATGATCTCTATTTCTTCTATTTCAAATCTCTTTTGAACCTTTACTGTTGTTAAATTAGCCTGAAAAACAGGCAATTTGTTCAAATTAAAGGCAAAATTATTGTTATTAAAGCATATTCCACTCTTCATAATAAAGCACAGCAGGCTAAAATGCTACATGATTTATGATTCAGATAATTAAAACATCATCAGTCACAATAAATACAAAAAGTAAAGGTAATTCTCTCTTCAGGTTGGAAAAAAGAAGCCAGCTGTCAGTGAAGTCCTTGATAGTTGAATGCATGAGTAAAGTATTGGAAACAATTTTTGTCCACTACCACCACACAGAAAGTGATGTTTTACACATCAACACTATCAGAGATGATTTCTCTCTACCAGTTAAATTTAACCATACAAGCCAACTTCTTTTAGCAAGATACTGAACCCTGAATTGCTCCTGATGCTGTTCACTGGTGTGTGAATGCGTATGAATGAATGTTTGTGATGGCCTTTGCCATTACTGTGTGAATGGGTGAATGTGGCATGTTTTGTAAAAGCGCTTTGAGCGGTTGGAAGACTGGAAAGGTTATATATACAAGTACAGTCCATTTACTATCTCCAATGGGAAAAAAATGCTTTTACCGGGTGGATATTTCATTATTATTTGGTCTTTAAAGCAGAAAAGGGGAACAGACTAACAGTAGCCTACAGTGCAAGTTCTGCCTTCTCTCCTCCTGTAGGATACTGTGATCTAAAAGTAGTGGAAAGTAATCATTATATTACTTTAATATTGTGATATTTGGATTAGGTTACTGACCGACCTAACCCAGGTTTTACAGGTAATTAGTAATTGTATCAGATTACATTTTTAAAGCAAACCTACCAACCGTGTTTATATCAGTAGAACTTTATATTTTTAGAAGACTATAGAGCATGCACCTTTAAGATACCACAGCACTCTTAGCCATAGATTAGACCGCCAGTTAACGGTATATATTTGATCAAATAATCCATCCATACGTAGAAAAAAGTAGGCAGTGTGATTTTCCTACAGCCACCAAGCAAAGCCTAATAGCTGACAAGGCCGTGAAACTGTGCCAATGCTGCAGTAGCAGGCAGGCCTTCCAAATGGAAGATATCTCAAAGAGAAGCCAAGATTAGACATGAGAAGAAAAAGATGTGTTACCCATGGCAACAGAACAGAGAAACATAGCTCATTTGCTGCGATTCTGAAACGAAGGCCCTGCTACACGCTGCCACTTGGCAAGAGGAAAGTCCTTTTCAGCAGTGGGAAGGGGGGAGGGGGTGTCAATTCCAAGGAATAATCCCAAAAGATTTTTTATTCCCTCTCTCTTTTTTTATTTTTATTTTTTTATATAGCACTCTAGTTGTATTGCCTGTGTTTCTAGCAGTTATGTGAGGACCTTTTCTCTCTCTTTCACTGTACATACAAACACACACACATGCACGAAGACACACACACACGCCCTCACTTAGGCACTGGAATTTAAAGAAATTGAGTGCCTTCTCAGTACCCTATGGAGCTCTGTATCTTCTGTAATTTAATTTGCATGCCAGCCCCGATGCCTGTGCTGTGGATGGGGGAGGAGGATGTGCGAAGCGAGGAATCCACTGGATGTGGCTGAATTTTCTCTAGAGGAGCCTGTGATCGCTTTACTGAGAAGGAAGACAGTAATTATTGCATGAAGATGATAATCACGTCATGTTTCCTACAGATTTGGGGAACAAGGCTCCTGCTGACACCATGGGAATAGGTCTGTCACGCAGGACATGCTGTACAGTGTCTGACAGAGGGCACCGACTCTTACACAAGGGACAACGAGCTTTGACTTCATGGGCATCTATCAAAAGATATCTGTTAATGTTTTAAGAGACACAAAGTGAATTAAATGGGAAGACTTTATGAGTAAATATAGGCCGTTTCTGGAAGGATCAATGTACACTTCCTTAAACGCATGAAAAGGAATTTTTAACTGATTATGAAACAATCTCAATGTAATACTGATGCTTTAATATCACCTACAAGCAAGACTATCAGCAAGAACATTGGCTTTTTTCGATGTAGTTATTTTTAATGCCTGCCAATGGTTGGATATGGTTGAAATCCTCTTGAACAAGGCAGTAGAAACACCGCTTTTGTCCACAGGGGCCGCCCGAATCAACAAGTTCCTTGTAGGGGCTTTAGAGTTAGAGAAACTCTGAGTATGGGTCAAGAAAATTGGATGCTACATTTCCCATAGTGCAACACAATAGTGTCTTATGTTAGACACTCACTGACAAACCAACTTCGCAGTTACCCTCAGATCTAGGGAGCTTTTTAGCAGCTTTCAGCTCATTGTGTTGGTTTTCTACCCTCAACCTTATTCTCTTGGTTCACTCTCACTGCTCACATTAACATTGTTTTTGACTGCAGTTACCTAGTTACAAGTTTCAGTAATTGTTTATTGATCCCTGTAGGGAAATTCGTTCTCTGCTCTTAAGTACTTAGGAGTAGAGAGGCAGCCACTGTGTGGTGCTCAGGGACCAAATCCAGATCTGAGCCAGAGCCTTTGGCAGAATTATTCTAACAAACATTTTTCGAGAGAGAACATGCCATCACCAAACCCAGAACCCAGGAACTTCTTGCTCTTAAGGCAAGAGCGCTAACCACTAAGCCACCGTGCCGCCAACAAGCAGGCAAAGTTGGTGACTAGCTGGTGAACATAGTCGAGGATTTAGCAGCCAGATATTTCTCTCATGAGTTGGTGCAGCTAAATCATAGCTAGAAGGAAAATTAATACTGGACTTACATTTGCTAAATCCCTAGAAACATGACCCCAAATGAATGCTAACATTGCTCCATATCTGCTGGGTCAGTAAATAGGCAATGGTTTGCTAAAAGATGCTAATATGACATGTTGTTACAACTTGTTTCTGCTGCCTTCACGTTGCAAAAAAATCACTTATTGCATATTTAGTTAATGTATACTCAGCAGTACTTGAACATCATATATTATACAATGTGTTTGAAGTAAAACATTACTGTATTTTAGTCCTGTTCAGTTCATGGGGGTGTTTTTGTGCCATGTATGCACTTACACAGTGCTGAGTGCTTTAAAGTAACATGACTGTGTGACAAATAAACGTATGGCTGAATAGTGGGATTTTTGTAACAGCGTGTTGGTATGTTCTGAGGCTTATGCAAGATGTCAGTCCCTGTGAAGCCTGAGAGCACACTCATTCGTGCCAAATGACCTAGTTTGCAAGTACGCTACACCAAACACTGACACACTAGTAATAAATGATTAATTTAAAGTCAGCCAATCAGATAATGTGGAGTGACTAGTTAAACAAGAGAAACAGTCACTGGCAGGCATTCTGCCTTCTACAGAGGCATCATACACCACTTAACCTAGATAGGAGCATTTGGTGCATGAAAGGATATTCTTACTCAATGAAATTGAAGCAGGGATTCCCTTGATAATATAATGCAGTCACTCGGGAAATACTCCATACTGGTGATTGATACCTACAGGGAGTAATGGTGGAGCACTTGCCACAGGGTCACAGTTATAAAGTCTGTTTTTCTGTGCAGATGCATTATCTGAAACTGAAACACAGAATTGGAGCCTGCATTTGAAATCAGAGATGATTTTAGATCTAATGGTAACATTTCTTAAAACTCTTTAACTACTCTGTTACCGAGATAAAGATCCTATTTATGCTACAGGGAGATCACTCGTCCTCTCAATAGATGTGGTATTTGATTGTGGGATAAGAAAGAACATCTAGATCAGAAACTTTTTTGATGCTTTCACTCAAAACTAGTCTGAAATAATACCTAGAAACTAAAGCATAAAAAGTTCCAAGAATTGAATATTGGAGGAGCTTGTGAGAAAAGAGGACTCACTGTTCATGCTCAAGCACATAAAGAAGACATCTAACTCCGTAGCAGTCCTTTGCAAACCACCCACTCCTCCCTCAACTTTACAGTTAAAGTCTGGAGGCGATAACCCAAGGTCAATATCCTCCACCAGGAACAAACTTCTCAAAGTTTTTCCACGACCATCAAACCTAACTCATTCTTTATATTCACCTAAACTCTGATACTTATGATTCACATTTCCACCACAGAGCCGACTGCCTCACCTGACCTGTCACCCTTTGCTGCATGTCATCTCCTCTCTTTCCCCATTTCATACAATACAGGTAAAATGCTCTCCACCCCAAAAAAACTAAACCAAAAAGATTCAGTACGATTTAGTCTAAAAGAAGACACCATAAAGACTTAATGGACTAAAAAATCAAAAAACAAAGCACTGGTCTCCCAATAATTATAGCACACCTACACATTTATCACCATTATTATGATCACTGCTATCATCGTCCTGCAAGATCGGAATTTCAAAGGCTTCTTCCATCAGGTTTTCTTCAACTAAGTAGTATTGCTAAAATTAGATCAGTGCTGTCACTCAGTGAAACAGACAATTGTACGTGCTTTCAGATCTTTTCATCTCATCTCACCAAACTTATCCTTTTTTTTTTCTTGACTTAAATGGTGGCATTGTTGCAGGCTGTGTAAAAAGCAGCAGCAAGGATTTTTACAATTAATGTTGTTAATGTTTGCGGGTTTGGTTACTCAGGCTTCCTTAGCATGGCTCCTAATCAGTTTTGAAAATTATTTGTCCATTTAACTGGTTTAAGGGTCATCAGGAAATTAATATAGATCATAAAGAATTAATAGGACCATGGCCAAGCAAGGGAGAATGAAACAATGAATTTGTCCAAAAAAAAAACTCATCTCTGATGCAACTTTCACAGGAAAAAGTTCCTCCAATATCACCTGTTTTACACAAACTTCCTGCAGTTATTACATTCACTATTTGTGTTAATTGTACAGTCTATCAGCTGTTCTGTGCTGTTATTGTTATGCGTTGAATATAACATGAAATATTGTCACTTTCAGGGGTTGTCCGTTTACTCAGTGACAGAAAAGGGACAATCACTGACATAGGCCTTTACCTCTACAGCTTTGCAGTTCCTTCTTCTCCCTTTAATCATCCTGGAACCACTTATCTCATGACTCCACTCCACTGCTTTCACTTCCGAAGCTCCAGTGTTTTTCATGTTTCCCTTTAAAGCTTTCTTGGTTACTTCTGTTTTGAAAAGTGCAATATAAGTACTTTATATTTAGTTTATGCTTACGTCGTCATGGCAACTTGCACTGTTACCGTAGCAACGTACCCTGTAATACCTCGTGTGTCTGTTGAATTTGGCTCATCTGTCAGGTGTATTTTGAAGTCCCTTGGGTTCAGTTATTCTTACTCCTTACATTGACATATTATTATTATTATTATT